TGCGCACCAAATCTGCGTTGTAACAATTTAAACACATATAATTTATTAATACAAGCATCATTACATCAACCCGTTCATTTTTTTCGAATACAAATATCATGACATCAAATACAAACATAGCACCGTCATTACATTCAAATACAAACATCATGACATCAAATACAAATCCTCATAGGACATGTACGTTTGTTGTGACCAATTTGCTTACACAGGCTACATCTACTCTGACTGCTTGTCGGTTGAGACTCAACCCAATCCATCTCATTCTGTATCCTTGACGATTTGGGTCTTCCTTGTGCACGTACCAAAGATGCATTTGGGATAATGGTTGGGCCATCAATTTGTGGAATCAACAACTCATTGCCCATTGGATACCAATGTGCAGCATATACCTTATCAATTTGTGCAATTGAGAACACAGGATCAACATAATCATGGTGGTTCAACTTTTCTACCTTGCACACCGCTAAGACGTGACTGCAAGGAAATCTTCTAGATGTGAACCATCCATATTGACATTTGCGATTGAGCAAGTCCACCCTCATTATGTCACCTGCATCATGAGTTGATTGATTGTAGGCATCCTCAACTTCAAATAGCTGCAGGTCCCTATCAAAAACCCGCACACGGAGGCTCACTGTTAATTGATCATTTTTTTGGATGATATCCTCAACTTTTTTTGCAATTCTCCAACCCTTTGCCTTTGCTTTTTGGATCTTTTCACGTCTCTTGACGAAATACTCAACAAGTCTACTTTGAGTCATCTTCACCAATGCTGTTATAGGCAAATTACGTGCACCCCTCAGGACCTTATTCACACACTCAGATAGGTTGGTCGTCATGTGACCAAACCTCCGACCCTCCTCATCGTAAGACCTGCACCATTTTTCTTTGGGAATCTGATCTATCCATGAAGCTACTTGAGGGTTACTGTCGATAAATTCCTGGAATCTGATATCAAAATGAATCTTTGAACTCAAGTACCCTGGAATACAAAATGATGCGTTAGATACAAAAGGATGAATTATATAGAATTTGTACATATTAAAAAGAAGATTGTACCTAGCTTCATCAGGGTTTTCTTTAATTCCACATCTCTAAACTTAGTGTTAAAGTTGCTTCCGATGTGGCGTAGACAAAAACACATAATACGCAAATGGTGGCTGCCAACCGGCATGATCTCTTACAGCCCTGATGATGCTGGGATGACGATCGGATATTAGACAAATGCCATGCTTATGCGTGACGTGAAAACGCATGAGGCTAAGAAACCACGACCAATCATCCAATCTCTCACCCGGAGGAACAATAGCAAATGCAATAGGGAGAATGTAACCATCTCCATCTTGTGAAGTTGCAATCAAAAGAGTTCCTTTGTATTTACCGTACAAATGCGTGCCATCAATTTGGATTATGGGTTTACAATATTTGAAGGCCTCAATGCACTGGTGAAAGGTCCAAAATACTCGGTGAAAGACAGCCTTATCCGTATACACTCGACGTTCATCAACACATTGGTCCGTATCAATCTTGAACACAGAACCCACATTAACCTGCGTCATGTATGTCAGCCAACCAGGCAAGAATGCATATGATTTATCCCAGTCGCCAAATAACTTGACAATGGCTTTCATTTTAGCCTTCCAAGCTTTCCTGTAAGATATGTTGTATCCATACAAACGTTGTACCCTCTCTTGAATAAGAACTTGCTTCAATGATGGATCTTCTTTTAACATACCTATATAAAAAAAACACCGACCAATAGTCAGAATACAAACTGATTAACGTAAACATACCTTAGGAAGTTAGATATATCGAATAATACATACTGATAATGGTTGCACATATCACATCAGAATCCAACTGTCTATGATCCCGAGTAAGACCTTGGTTTAGGCAGGTGTGTTCTTTAACCCACTTACTAACCACCCAAGTATTTCCATTCTTCGGCAACAATGCCCTCACATACCAGGGACATCCATCATTATGGTGTCGACACTTCATCACAAATCTATGGTCATCACTTTTTGCCACAACGGTAGTACGGTGAGCCTTCATACAATATAATTTGACTGCATGTTGCATTTCAGATTTGCTACGAAACTCCTGATACAAATATAAAGGATCCCCTAATTGCCAGCCACCGTGATCATCATCGTCACCATACAATATCTCCGTCTCATCATTAGGGTGGGCCCAATTAATGAAGGAATAATGTGAGCTTTCATTCCAAAATGGCTCGACTACGGATGCATTATAATGCCACCGTCAATACCATTCATAACAAAAAAAATAATTGCTAAATTAAATCTTTAAAAAACAAATCTTACCACTGCTAACAGGGTCAACACGAAGTGGTCTCGTAACCTGCGAACCCGGGGATGGTGAGCTTGTGTCAGCATCGAAATCACCCTCTACGTCAGTATCTGACGTGTCACCTAGCGGAATAACACTCTCAGGTTCACCGTCCTCATCGCTGTCCATATCGGCATCCTGTTCATCCTCATCTATTTCCCGCAGTGTTATCTGACTTATGACATGTGCAGGTGCAGATAAATCGACTACTCTTTCTTCATGACCAAAATACGGTTCACTTCTTGTATGCATGGGTGCAGATGAAGATTAACCACAATCTAATTCAACATATATCTCAATAAAATTTTGAAATTTTCGGTCAACAATTGCATCTATGACACATTCGACATCTTCATCATCACATATATCGTTACCAATGTAGTAAATAGCATCCTTACCAACTGTTGTCTCTACCCTGGCAATCATCCGTTGAACGCATTGGCTGCCTTGCAGACCCAATTTTTGCTGAATTCTCTCCTTTAACTCGTTGTATGTAGTGCCCCGTTTGATTTTCAACATTTTCGTTTTTCCTTCAAATTGAACACCATTGGGGCCTTCATAACGCTTTCCATCATAGTAGATCATTGTCACATACATGTTTGGACTTGTGCTCATCTTCCTCACGAAATTGGGACTAGGGTTCTGAAATTGGGGTTTGGGTTCGGATTTTGGGGTTTGGAATTGGGTAATGACAATGATTTCACAATATTAGGTCTGTAGAGATGGTGGGATGAAATACAATCAGATTGAGAGGATTACACATGAACAAAGGGAGCTATTTAGGTTTACACAACAACAACAATCGAAATGAGACCGAAAACATGGAAAATATAGGGTTTCAGTCGATATTTAGTCGACTAAATATCGTTACTTAGTTGACTAAATATCCCAAAAATGTAGTCGATTAAGATGCTTTTCTAGTCGACTAAATATGCGGTAGTCCACTTTATGAAGTTTGACCATTTGCTCGACTAAAAAAGCAAGGTAGTCGACTAAAAGGGGACAGGTTGGTGGATAGTTCTGGATCAGGGACAAATTAGTTATTAATTAATTAACGAGGGGCAAAAGGGTCAAAAAGCCCATAATTAAGCGTACCAAAATTTATAACTTTCACTCAAAATTGAATTTCATGTATTGTGAGTAAATGGATGTCCAATAAAGAGAGTTTAGAAGGAAATAAGCTCCCAACCCAATATTTAATTTTATATGTATAGGGCTGTAAAGGTGTAAATGTGGTAAAGCATAGAAGATGAAACCTAAGGATAAAGTTTCTTAAATAAAATATAAAAAATGCATCTTGTATTAATTTCATTTAAAGTACATTATGATCTTTATTTAATAAAATTTAAGAAATAGATATATATTTACTTTTATGTTTAAAAACACATTAATTTTAACTTTTTTTCTTCAGAAAAGTAAAAGTTAGCAATAAAGCTTTGATGAGAAATGATCTTTACGTATTAAAATTTCTTCATTAATTATAATTAAATTCAACCTATTAAATATATATCAAGAAAGAGATACACAGAAAATTTTACATGAAAATCCATTTTCCACTTTGAGTTTCTCACCAAGAATAGACAAAATCATCATCTAGCCAATAGTCATTAACTCATTAGGTATTGGATTGGTTGAAACTTATCAATCTTCATATTCGTCAATGATGTGATCTTACGTACAAACTAATTATTGTGTGAGGGCTCCTTCCAATGCCTTGCCACTGTTAGTCTTGTCTTTCCACAGGCTAAACAGAACTCAACCAATTAGCCTTACATTACATAGTTCTAAGTCAACCAAGTTACATGCTTTCTATTAATTTTTCAAACCTAAGAAACGTTATTGACAACTTTTTTTTAAAAAAAATTTCCAATAAATTTAAGTAAGATATAAATAAATATAATAATTTACATCAAATACACGTTAAAAAAAAAAAAACTGTAGATCATGCGCGCTACTGAATGTAAATAATAATATTGTCTAGCTGGACCAAAGAGAAACCCTTGGCTGAGCTGCTAACACGAAGCCCAAGTTGATGGTTACGTCATCATGTCCAACTCAGCTCGGCTAATCAGATTTTCATTTTCCTCCGTCGTGGTGATTGCAATCCTCTACGTTAAACTTCCTAACATCACACCAAAATCGTGGTAAATCTCGTTCGTGGCCGTGTACTTGACTTGATTTCAGACACATGAACCGTTATGATTATGGTCGTGAAGCTACAGCTATCGCAGCAGATTAAATCCCCAAAATATTGTTCCATGTTGGTAGATACCAGCGCGCCACGACAGCTCCTGCCTCCACTAGCGAAAGACAAAACACAAAGCCCAGAATAGACAAAGTAGGAAAAGACGAAATCACCCTTCATCGTGTCGACTCAAAATGCTGAGCCAGGGGTAGTCACGGAATTCACGCCGGTATCCATTTCGACCAAAAAGTATGCATGCCCTGCAGGCATGTGAAACATGTCCTCCAGAAGGTCATTTGTGTCATTCCACAAACCCTCGATATTTCCCTAGCTTATTACCATTACTCGCCAAAGGAAAATTTTCATAAAATTAAAAGAAATAATAAAAAAAAGCGAGCCGCCCCTACTTTTATTTATTACCAGGGCTTTATTACGTAAATGAATTTCTCTCCCTCCCTCTCTCTCTCTCTCTCTCTCTCTCTCTCTTTTGCTTATGTTCCTCTTCCCTTTGCTTCTTCCTTCAATATTTCTCTGTTTTATCTTCGTCTTCTTCGTTCTTTGAGTGATTCTCAGATCTGTATACTCTCTCTAGTCTCTATTTAGGTTTTTCTTCTTCACGGTATATGTCTAATCTGATTCTGCTTTCATTTCTCTCCCTTAATACTGTGTTTCTGTAATTGGATTGCTCTGTGATTCCTTGGTTTTTTGTATTGTTATATAGCTGCTGCCTCTTATTGCTTTTGGTGTCACAGGTTTTTTTTTTAATTTTATTTTTTGCGAATTGTAAATAGCTGGTTCCACTTGGCCTTTGCTAACTATGTTGTGTTATTGGTTCGAGCTGCTGCTATATGTTATTGGTGTGTTGGGTTTTTTGGAATTCAGGGTATGGTTTATGAATTGGGGGATTCCTTTGTATGTGATATGATAATCTTTTCTGTTACTCATTCATGTTCTTGGTTGGGGAATTTACTAGATTTGGTTCTGGGGTTTGCACTCTTTATGTTTTTTGTTTGTGTTGTACTCATGAACTCTGATGGTGGAATTTCAAGAAAATATTATAATCTTCGATCTATTTGTATTATTATGCGTTTTTTTTTTTTTTTTTTTTTTTTCTGATGTGGTTATGATGTTGGCAACTAACTGGTTATCCTTTGAGTGATTAATTTTCTCTGCATAATCCCTTGGCTTTATTTTTCAATTTTTTTTTTTTTTGCAATATTTTCCTTCTTTTTAATATCTTAAATCTAAGATTTAAAAGAATGTGTGAATCTAGATAATGAATGTGTGATTTTTATTTTTTAATTTTTTTTATTGGATAATTTTACTTCACTGTTGCTGGTTCTCTTATAGTCATCATTCATGCCTGTTTTTCGGTTGTGAATATTTTTTATTGGCACGATATATTACAAACATGCATACTGGTTGTATACCTATCTTATTATTAAGTTATCCTGATTGAGTTGTTGAAGTCTTGAAGGTAATGTAGCACAGTACGCTATGTTGGTTTTTCTGCTCCAGATGAGAATTCCTATTTTGCTTTTACTTCCTAGCTTGAGGTTTGAATTGCTTTTTATGCTCGAATTTCTTGCAGGAGCAACCCCACGTATCTTTAGCATTCTTTTGTATATTTGGAATGGTTTCTACTGGAAACTTGACAAATAAATTCATATACTGAAAGGAATTTATGGCGATGGAGCCCCATACAAACAAAATGGGAAAGTATCCTACTCCTATTAAATTGGCGAAGGTCAGAGAACTCCTCATGATGTTTTCAGCTTCCTTTTTATCCTTTTCTCTGTTTGAAGCTTTAATTTTTTCTGTTTTCTTTTGGTTCTGTTTCAAATCAAAGCTATATTTTTGGCATGCTCCTACAAAGATATTTGAGGTTCTTTCTTAATGAAATGAATAAACTTTGTCTTCCATATTCTGTTTCTGATCTTCTTTTCTTGGTTTTTGGTCCTTTAAAAATTCATTTTATGTTGTACATACAGGAAGGTACTTCTCATGTATATTTGCTTTTTGCAAATTTTAATTTTTTGGGCTGAGAATGCTTACAACTTTAATAGCAAAGTTATATCCCTAAATGAGTGTCTCCTTGTGGGTGATAAAGTTCAAGATGTCTTCCATTCTACTCTCGATTTTGGGATAACGACCAAAATGCCACACTATTCACAAAAAATTACCTGAATGTTACGGACCAATTTTTTTTTTCTTCCAAAATGTGACGTTACCTAACTCGCTACAACATCTAGCGAGTTAGGTGTGCACACGTGGCAGCAGGTTCATGGCCACATAAGCCGCTGCACAGTGCAGTAAGATTACGTGGCAAACAGATTCTGCACCAGCCTGCCACGCGGCCTAAAACGCTGGACATCTTGGCGTGTTACCTGTCAGCTTTTCTGACACGTGGCCAAAATCGCTGTGCTGTATAGTATATTATGTGTCAGCTTTTTCCACACGTGTCAAAGTCGCCCAACAGTCTAGCGTTTTTAGTTCAATAAATTCACCACTTCCCCTCCCATTTCATGCGTCAGTGGAGTGTCGTTTCTCTTCCGTGGTTACATTTCGTTTCTGTTCAGTTAATGTTTCTGTTGTTTTTTTTTACATCCCATTTCTCACATTGTTCAATAAATAGTCATCTGAAGTTGCATTTTTGTTCTTTTTTTGTCATCCAAAATTTTTCAAAATGAGTGATGGCAATGATTCATTAATTGTCTTAGTCTATTACAATGGGAGGAAATATTTTGATCCTAATGGACAAGTTTTTGAAGGAGATACAAAAGTATTTCGCATGAGCCCGCGATGTAGCTTTAATGAACTGAAGAAGACAATATACAAGAAATTGAGATTACAACGTGGTCAATCTCTGTCTCGCTTGACGGCTCGATGCGCCTAGGGTAAAGAAAGTTGGGTTCCGGTGGAGATTGTTGAGGATGAAGATATCGCCTTAGTAGTAGATGCATTTTGACTGCATCCAGACGCCATATTTATTGAGCTATATGCGGAAGTAGACTCCGGTTGACAGTCCAGCAGTCAACGTTCTCTCCCTTCCATTCACTCAATCGACATAAATAGAGAGCCGTTGGTGAATCCTGAAGATAGATATATGTCTCACCCCCACCACCGATACCAATGTCACTTGAATTGCATCCTACCCAAGATGAGTATGCTCCAACATGCTGTACATACAGCTCAGACGACCAGACAGATGAAGGGGTTATTCCTGAAAGCAACTCGTCGAACACTGATGTGGAGCGCGATTTCGATTCATGTCCGTCCACCGCCATGTGTCATGCGATTCTTTCACTGGACATTGAGCGTGTTATGTCTGTCACGGCTGATAACTTGCGGTATAGGCGAGTAAGTACAATTGAACCCCAACTAAAAGTACCCACTCGTGGAAAATCATCCAACAATAGTAAAAATCGAGCGGGCACAAAACTGGAGGCAGTTTCCACAAAGAGCATCCCGCCTAAGATGTGCATGATCAATGCCCTCGTGTACCTAATGCGCTGTGCCTCTGCCCTTACATACGGACTATAATGACCAAAGCGCTAGCGCAACCATCGAAGGCTCATCTGACCACCCGTCATGTCACGATCTGTTTCTGGCTGAATTCCGAGGTTTTCAAATATTAATTGCCGCCAATCATATTGTCCAGCACAATAGGACATAACGTCACCATCCGTGGGCAAACCCAACAAATGGTGTACATCCTCTAGGGTGATCGTCATCTCTCCATGCGCCATATGAGATGTCTGCGTCTTAGGCCACTAACGCTCGACAAACACGGAAATAAGGGTATGGTCAATCTGAAACAATAAAAGTAGGTGATGTTTTCAAATTAATACAATTAATCCATATGAATAAAAAAAAGCAATAAATGAATACTTACGTCGTGGTTGCACAGCTGCGCAGTATGAAAGAATCTAGCCTGCCTCAGTACGGCTCGATGTCCTCATGTATGTTCAACAGGTCATGTGTGGCGGCGTGTTTGATTTTGAGTCGTCGATCGCCCGACCATTCTACACATATGTGGAAATGTGTTTCTCCTTTAATGTCACGAGAAAGGTATCAATGGGGCCCGGTGTAATGACGCCACGAGGAGATCTTAGAGAGCCAGGAGGTGTGTGCTCATGCTACTCACGGGGTGATGAACCAATCGGTGAATCAGGCGGGGAATCCATGAATCAATGAACATAAACTAAATTAAAATAACTTAATTAACAGATGTAAATTAAATAAAATTAATTAAGAAATCCTAAAAATACTTAATCAACAGTTATAAAATAATTTAAATTAATATAAACTAAATTAATTAACAGACATAAATTTAATTGAATTCATTAACACTCCTAAATTAAATTAAATTACTTAATAGTTCAAAAATAATTTAACTTACGTAAATTAGATTAAATTAAATTAATTAACACTCCTAGATTAAATTAAATTAATTAACAGACATAAATTACGTTTAATTCATTAACACTTCTAAATTAAATTAAATTACTTAACAGTTTAGGATACCAAAAAAAGAAAAAATTACTTAACAGTTCAACAATAATTTAACTTAAAATATCACTAAATTAAATTAAATTAATTAACAATCTTAGATTAAATTAAATTAATTAACAGATATAAATTAAATTTAATTCATTATCACTCTTAAATTAAATTAAATTACTTAACATAAAATAAAATAAATTAAATTAATTAACACTCCCTAGATGAAATTAAATTAATTGACAGAGATAAATTAAATTAAATTAACAGTCCTAAATTAAATTACTTTTACATAAGTTATTTAAAACTAAAATATTCAAACCAATGTTAATTTTTCTTAAATCATTTTATTTCAAAATACAAAATTTAATAATTAAAATTATCCTATAATTTATTTATACTAACTCATTCAACAAACATATAAATCATGTCATCTATCATAGGGTTTAATTTCTACACTAGAAAATTAATTAATATCTAAATATGTCATCTATCCTAGGATTTAATTCCTATACTAATAAAAAATATCATCTAATCTATCATATAAAATAACAGCATTTAAATTTAAAACAATAAACTAAATTGTAGTGAAAAAAAATGAAAAATTAAAACTAACTTGTATAAGAGGGGAAGGGAACCGGTTTGTGTGAAAGGGGGAGGGGGGCCTAGTGAGAGAGAATGGGAAAAAGGGGGATTGTTTTTATAGTGGTGAGGACCACTAAAAACGTTGAATAGCCCAGCGGTTTTGTCCCCGTTGTGACACGTGTCACACATGCATTGCATGGTGCTGCAGTGGCCATGTAAGATGCTATGCTGCCCAGCGAGTTTGCCACGTGTCAGACACATGATATGCTATGCTGCCCAGCGAGTTTAGGCCGCGTAACAGGCTAGTGCAAAATCTGTCTGCCATGTAATCTCGCTGCACTGTGCAGCGGCTTACGTGGCCATGAACCTGCTGCCACGTACGCACACGTAACTCGCCAGGTGTTGTAGCGAGTTAGGTGACGTGGCATTTTGGAAAAAAAAATTCCGGTCCGTGGCATTCAGATAAATTTTGTGAATAGTGTGGCATTTTGGTTTTTGTCCCCCCGATTTTGAAAGATATATTTCTTTTGTAATTATTAGTTATCACTGTTGGTAAACTCTTTGCAGAACTTGTGAAACTCTTGAATACTCCAAGAGTAATGCACCTGATAGTCCAAGTTTTAATTTAATCTTGATCTGATGGCACAAATTCGATGTATATGCCACATGTGATGTTCTAATTGACTAGGTGCAATACTTTCTGGAGGCTGAAAGATTTTCTCCCTTCTCGGTTTTCATTTTTGATTTGTTAAGTTGAACCTCTCATTTTTTATTTCTACAAACAACCTCCGGTTCTTGTTTTGTAATGCATATCTGTTTCATATTTTGATCAGCTTGCTGTAATGAAAGCTACATCTTATTACTCTACTTCTAAATATATTGGTTTTGATTTTTCATATAATAATCTTTTTTTTTTCTCAGTGATGAAACTAGTATGCAAAAATCATGTAGTATTGTAATTTAAGATCAAGATTTTTTTTTTTTTTATATTTTTTTTTATATTTTTTTCTTTCAAATTATTGAAAATTTGCACTAATATTTAGCATGAATGTGGATTTTAAGGGTGAAGTAATTGTTTGTGGTAAAAATATATCGAAATTACCTGAACTATGATGAGAAGGCACCTTTTTTTAATAGAAGAAAGTGTACTTTTTTTGAATAGAAGAAAAGGCACCATCTTTTGCAATCGATTTACAGTAAGATAGCTGTTGTGGAAAAGATTTAGCGGCACTGATATGGATATAACAAGGCTTGTGCTGACTGTTCAAGCTGCAAGTGTGAAAAATAGATTTTGTGAGAGAAAACACAATAGTTATTTCAATTATATCTAGTCTTTGCTATATGATCGTTAAAAATATTTCATGGAAAATGCTCATCTTCCATTTCCTTATGTTTCTATATACGATGTTTTCACACTGTCATGCTTTATGGACCCATCTTCATATAGATCAAGGGAGAGTTCAATGATTGCTGTCTGAAAACTTGTTTTTCCTGTTGCGATGCCAAGGTATAATTTAAAATTGAAGGCTACAATACTAAATTTTGATGCGCATTTTGGGATAATACAGACAGAAATTATTGCTTTATATGATACTTGTCATTTTTTAATTCTGTGACAACATGTTTAGAATTTTTTCTATTCCTTCACTCTCAAGAACAGTGTATGTCTGTTTTCAGATTTGCCCCATATATGAATATCTTTGTACCGTTGTATCCCTTTTAACATCATTTTGTTAAATTTGGGAGTTTTTATGCTCATGTTTGAGGTGAGATGTGTAAACTTGACATTTTGATTTTTAAACACACGAACTGATCTCTTAGTCTTGGCAGTAAATGGTTTTATATGGGTGCGTTGCGGGTTATAAAAAGGAAGAATTTTCTTCCCCTTAAGCATCAATTTCATAAATTAAAAACTTATTTCCTTCTTTCTTTGTCAGGGTGGATGAAGCTTAATGATTTGTTCACAAGGAGCACAAGAAGCTCCAGGGAACTCTTTACATCAGTATTAACCAGTCTTATAAAAGGTTTCTTTCCAAGAGATGTTATAAGATATTATTGGTGGAACTAACTTCATTAAAAGATTTTGTGAAACTTCGTCCTGGGATACAGTGAAAATGGACAGATCAGATACATCAGGCTTTGTAAGTGGTGGAGGCTGTATAATGGAATTTCTTTTTCTAGCCATAAAGTTCTGGTAGGTATGCGGATCTTGTAGAAGCATGTGGTGAACTGGTCTTCTTTTTCAACCTTCTGTAGCTGTAGTGCACAACATCTGGATGATGGATTTGAACAAGAAAGCTGTACTGTCTCCTCATGATGCTGAACTTAGGAAAAATGATAACTTTGGCGATACTACATTATGCTTGAATGGAATTGGCTTTGGAGAAACCAACAAGGCTAGTTATAGATGTGCTGATGATGGCTGCAGATTGGTGCTGGGATTGGGCCCAACCCCAATGGCGTATGGCGATGACTATGACAATTTGGGGTTTAATAAGAAGAAAAAGTCGGCCAATCTTTTTCCTCTGCACATGCCATCTGAATGTGATTCAATCCTTCAACTTGGTCTTTCGGGTGGAACTAATGAGGCATCAGGTGTGCTGGACCACTCAGGTTCAACCGAGACTGATGTGAATGTGCCATGTTTTTCAAGCCAAATATCTGTAGAAAATAATTATTTAAGGATTCCTGTTGTTGATGAGGGTTCTACCTCGGCAAAGAAATCAGGTGGCTATATGCCATCACTTCTTTTGGCTCCAAGAATGGATAATGCTAAAATTTCGGTGCAGACCCAAGAACTAATTATTGGGACAAAACCTCAGCTGTGCCCGGAACCATCCGATGCTACAAATTACTCACTCGGCACCACATATTCTACAGGGATAACTTCAGACAACAGAACAAACAATCCCAAGAGATGTAGATTTTTTGGCTGTATAAAGGGAGCTCGAGGTGCTTCAGGGCTTTGTATTGGACATGGGGGTGGACAGAGATGTCAGAAACCGGGATGCAACAAGGGTTCCGAGAGTCGTACAGCTTATTGTAAGGCCCATGGTGGAGGGAAGAGGTGCCAATACTTAGGGTGTACTAAAAGTGCTGAGGGTAAGACAGATTATTGCATAGCACATGGTGGTGGCAGGCGATGTGGTTATCCAGGTGGGTGCACAAAAGCTGCAAGAGGTAAGTCAGGACTTTGCATTAGACACGGAGGGGGTAAGAGATGTAGGATGGATGGTTGCACCCGGAGTGCAGAAGGGCAGGCTGGGTTGTGCATCTCTCATGGGGGTGGACGCCGTTGTCAGTTCGATGGATGTACAAAGGGTGCGCAAGGGAGCACTATGTTTTGCAAGGCACATGGTGGTGGGAAGCGTTGCTCATTTGCAGAGTGTACCAAAGGTGCTGAAGGAAGCACCCCACTGTGCAAGGCACATGGTGGGGGGAAGCGTTGCCTTTTCAACGGGGGTGGTATTTGCCCAAAAAGTGTACATGGTGGAACAAACTTCTGTGTTGCTCATGGTGGTGGAAAGAGGTGTGCTGTTACAGGTTGCACCAAGAGTGCACGTGGCCGAACTGACTGTTGTGTTAGGCATGGCGGTGGAAAGCGGTGCAAGTTTGAAGGCTGTGGGAAGAGTGCTCAGGGAAGCACAGATTTCTGCAAGGCCCATGGTGGAGGAAAACGATGTAGTTGGGGAGATGGAAAGTGTGAGAAATTTGCAAGGGGAAAGAGTGGGCTCTGTGCTGCTCACAGCAGCTTGGTGCAAGAAAGGGAAATGAACAAGGGTAGCCTGATTGCACCTGGACTTTTCCATGGTCTTGTACCTTCTGCTTCCACTGCCTGTAGCAGTTTTGACAACAATTCTTCCTCAGGCGTCAGTGTTGTGTCTGACTCCTATGATTCTATGGAAACTCCAGCTAAAAGACAGCACCTCATACCCAAGGAGGTGTTAGTTCCACTCTCAATGAAATCACCATCTTACTCAAGCTTCTTAACTGCCAAGAAGCCGGACCAAGACAAAAATGGCCACAGCATGGCTGCTGGCTGCAGCGGTGCTCGGAAAGGCCTTGATTTTAACCTGCCGGAGGGCAGGGTCCACGGTGGAGACCTCATGTTGTATTTTGGAGGGAATCTAAAAAATGCATCACTTGATGTTATCTGAAATGAAGGGGATTGTGATGACTCACAAGTTGTAGATTTCACTTTAGGAATTAGGGACCATTTCCATCATGAAATTGTGCATAATGGTTTGTGCTGCTTGTTCAATAACTGGTGTATAGTTGGGTGTTGATTATTAGCCATTAGGCTCTTAATTGTTTGTAGTGCTTCATCAGTAAGATGTCTTTCATTCTTCAATGTAAGGTGGCAAATGTTAAAACAAGGCTCATAAATCCCATGCCACAAACATTATCATTCTCTGCATTTTCTGCAATTAAATCATTGTATTCTGAAATCTAGTTTTATTTTATTTTTAAACAAATATTGTTTTATTCTGTTTCAAATTAAAGCGCTGAGAAACACCGTCGCTTTCTAACCCATGCGTATAAGTAAGTGGATTCTCCTCTCCGACAACGAGTTTCATTCTAAAAAAGCACCCCCTTTTTCTTCTTCCTCTCAATTTTTCTCTCTGCAGAAGAACCTACCAGATGCTGAAACCGCACTGAATCGCCAATTTTTTTTTTTCAGGTAATGTTTTACAATTTTGTGTTGTGAATCAACCACTTCACACTCTTAACATGATATTGATGAAAAATCACGCTGAAATCAAGAGTATAATTAGTTGAGAAACGAAAGGAGAGTTCAATTTTCTTTCCAATTTTCCAAGAAAAGAAAATCGCGTTCGGAAAATTTGTCCACGACTGTGATTCGAAACCGAAAGCTTTCCACGTAACAGCTTCGTGTGAAATGCAGGAATAGTGATGGAGAACAACAGCAAGATGAAGGTTCCGAAGTCGAGGACTTTGAACGAAAACGTTTCGCCGTTTCAGATCGAGTTGGATGATCATAGAGGACGCTATCTCCAATCAACGAACATGAGTCCAAGATTTCAACCGTACGCAGAGAACATCGACGCCGGCTCGCCGCTCGCGCGGTACCTCTTCAGCGCGTCTCCAATTTCCCGGAAGGTTATGATCGGCGACGAGGCCTTCACTTCGCCGACGTTCGGCTCCAGCAAGTACGGCTCCAGCAGGCATTCACTTCTCCGTCGTTCGCGGTCGCCGCTTTCTGCTATTGAGAACGCGCCGCGCTTGTCGCCGCCGATGTACGGAACGCCGGTGAAGGTGGATGATGAAGTTCTTGTGATGGATGATATTCTGGTGAGGCGAATGTCGGGAGAAAAGAACGGAAGGTCTTCATCATCTTCCTCCGGCCGGGGTTCGTCGTCGTCGTCGAAGAGCGTGTTCAAGACGGATATTTGCAGAGCGTGGGAGGAATCTGGAAACTGCCGCTACAACTCCAAATGCCAGGTTGGTACTTCTCGCCATAACTCTAATTATTTAAAGATTTGGATATTTTCTCCATCATTGATATTCTATTTTTTTTATTAAGATTTGATTTTTTTTATATGCAATATATATCAGTCTAAATTAGTAATTTTGCTATTGAGAAAATACAAAGTAAAGCAAGAACCAATTATATCAATTGAATTAAATCATGAACCAAATTATAAATAAATATACATTAAACCAAGTTTAAAAATCGAATTACTTTATTAAACTGATCTGGTTCAGTTTGATATATAAAATCGAACTATATCAAATCATGTCCATTTTTTAGAGAGTAAAAAGAATTATATGAACTAAATCAAACCGAACACCACTATTCTAACATTTTGTTAAAAGATGCCCCTGCTCATTGTATTTATATATTTTGGTTTAACTTAAATATAATATTCCCATTAATATTAGAGAGCGAACGGTTGATTGGAGGCATTAATATATATTGAAATATCCAATAGCGTTCAAATAATATGATATAATATTATTAATGTATATTATATTTTTGCCAAATTTGATTTGAATACTAAATTTGAAATTTATAACCCCCGAAGTCAGCTCAGTTGGCAACTTCCAAAGGTTTGCTTGGGTCAGGAGTTCAAATGCTTCCTCTAGTAGCGAAGTTCAATGCACTCGCCCTTCCAATAAGGAGGTAGCCTTCAGGTTATACTTCGAAGACAAAGTGACCGGAGGAGGTTGAATGAGAATACTTTTCAGGTTGTACATAAAAAAAAATTGAAATTTTATTTAAATTTTAAATTCCAACTAAATTGTTTTGATTAAATATAACTTTTGTATCACCACTTTCTATGTCACTTTCAGCAAATGGACATGATTTGAGCTAAAGTTATAACTAATTTTTTTATTTTCGATTCAATTTCAAATGTCCATCTAATATTATTATATAATAAATAAATAAAATAAGAAGAATAAACTAGAATTTAAAAATTAAATAAAACTATATTTTAATATAATAAAGTAAGATTTGTTTTTAGTCCATCTCAAATGGATTTGAACATCTAATCAAATTATAGATATATAATAAAAAAAGTAAAATCCTATTCTAATTTAACCTCTTTATTATGGGTCCGTATAAGAGACATATTCTAGAAGGTCCAAAAAAGTGTTACGGAAAGAGGAAACTAAAAGAAATAAAGTAAAGAATCTTTGATTGCCACTAATTTTAATACGACGGCTATGGACCTATACTGGGACCCTTAGAAAAGCCACTAAAGGTCCACTATTCAAATATCTATATGTAAAACTCTATAAATAAAAGGTAAAGTTTATAGGTATAGGACACACTCTTTCTTATATATTGTCACTATACACACATCACTTTTTTGGCTACACCGTTATTATGAGCACTTTGATTTGCAACTTTGAAGATATCTCCTCTGTAGATAGCTGAGAGAGCACTTAACACGAGCTGCATTATGACGAAGCCCAAAATATTAAAGCCCAAGATGATCCAAATATTAGAGCTACCAATCACAATAGAATAGACTGCTGACGTGTCTTTCTGTTATAGATTCAGTTTCATATTTTCAGTTACACAGTTAGTTATCAGCTATCAGTTATGATATATATAGTAACTTCATGTATTATTCATTAAATTAATGAGAATAATGATTTTCTTTTCTTCTTCCGGATTCGTTTCTCTCTGTTTCAATATGGTATCAGAGCTTACAAGGCTATCAGAGCTTACAAGGCTCTGATATCCGTTTTCGACGATCGAATCTTGCTTTTCTTTCTGCATTCATCAGTTCTTGCCTTTCTTTCTTTTTTCTTTCATGGCGAATCAATTACCAGAATTTTTAACCAATGCAGCACATCCACTGTACTTGCATCCGAACGAAAATCCGTCTCAGGTGCTTGTAACTCCATTGCTCAATGGGCGAAACTATCACTCGTGGTCTCGTGCCATGTCTATGGCACTCAAATCCAAAAACAAACTTGGTTTTGTTAATGGTAATGTAGCTGTACCAAATGTTGTGGATCCTGACTTTGAAGCTTGGGATCGATGTAACACCATAGTTATGGGGTGGATTCATAGATCCATCACACAAACCATTGCACAGTCCATATTATGGATCGAAACAGCATCAGGTGCGTGGAATGACTTAAAGAATCGCTTTTCACAATCGGATATTCTTCGTGTTTCTGACCTTCAAGAAGATATTTACAAGATCTGTCAAGGAGACAAATCTGTAAGTGAATACTTTACACTGCTGAAAACAATGTGGGATGAATTGGAAATCTTGAAGCCACTTCCAACTCCTGCAGCTCCATGTGTATGTGGAGCCATCTCACAGATGCGAAACTATCGTGATAGAGACCAGACTGTCCGTTTCTTGAAAGGATTAAATGAGCAATATGCTCAGGTAAGGTCACAGATCATGCTCATTGAGTCTTTGCCTAATGTTACCAAGGCATTCTCACTCATAGCTCAACAAGAGCGTCAATTTCAATCAGAAAATAGTTTGAATTTTTCTAATACTCCTCAAGCTTTGGCTGCTGTTGGAGATCAATTTACTCATAGAAGAGGTGGAGGTCAATTCAATGGTGGACGCAATTTCAGAGGTCGTGGACGCAATTATGGTGGAAGAGGATCCATGAATAACAAGCTGTGCACTCATTGTAATAGGTCAAATCATACTATTGAGACCTGTTACATGCTCCACGGCTTCCCACCAGCATACAAAAGAAACAATTTTAGCAGTGTGAATACTGTTGCTGCTGAGATGAATAATAATGAGCGGATGGATACACACTCGATGCAATCATCACCAATGAATATGATTCAAGATCAATACCAAAGAATTCTCAATTTGTTACAGAAGCCAGATCTGAATACAGACAATGCACAGCCATCACATTCAGTTAATGTAGCCAACACCAACCAACCATCCATTACCAACCAATCCTCTGTTAATAACTTCCAATCAGGTATGATGAGCGTAGTGTGGGTAATAGACACGGGTGCCACTGATCATATCACTCATGTCTTCTCACAATTTTCAAGCTATCATGAAATTGATCCAATTTCCATAATGCTTCCCAATGGTTCTACAGTGAATGCTTCCATAGCAGGAACTGTCATTCTTTCTCCAAGACTTACACTAACCAATGTTCTTTTTGTACCAAATTTCCATATAAATCTCCTTTCTGTTACTGCACTTTTAGATTCAGTTTCCTGTATTGTTACCTTTAATAAATCTTTCTGTCTTATACAGGAGAAAACCTTACCTTACCCAACGACGATTGGTTCTGCTGAGAGAAAGAATAAATTGTATGTGATAATCAACAAGTCGAGCAACTTGACAAGAAGTTCTTCTAGCTTAACTTTTCCCATTTCCACCTGTAATGCCATCCATAATAATGAGGCTTCTCTATTATGGCACCAAAGATTAGGCCATGCCTCTACAGATGTAGTTCATTCTATGTCTTTACAATTTCCTTTCATTTCATCAAGTCAGATTACTCATTGTGAGATCTGCCATTTTGCCAAACAACACAAACTACCCTTTTCTTTAAGTAACTCAAAATCTGTTAAAGCTTTTGATTTACTTCATGTTGATATTTGGGGTCCCTACTCAACTGATTCAATCCATGGACACAGATACTTTCTTACTTTAGTGGATGATTTTTCACGTTTCACATGGTTAATACTCATGCGCACAAAAGCTGAGGCTCGTAGTCACTTGCAGCAATTCATAACTTTCATCAAAACTCAATTTGGTGTAATCATCAAAGTTGTACGTTCGGATAATGGGCCAGAATTTCTAATGCATAGCTTCTATAATCAAGCAGGCATCATTCATCAACGCACATGCACTGAGACCCCACAACAAAATGGCACTGTGGAGCGAAAGCATAAGCACATCCTAAATGTGGCTAGAGCACTTCTATTCCAAGCAAAAGTTCCTCTTTCCTTTTGGACTTACACTGTCATTCATGCTGTACATTTAATCAATCGTACTTGCAGTCCCGTCATTGACAATATCACACCATTTGAAAAGCTTTATGGTTCATCTCCTGTACTCACCCACCTACGTGTCTTTGGTTGCCTGGCTTATGCATCTTCTATTTCTTCTCATCGAACAAAGTTCTCACCACGTGCACGCAAGGCTGTTTTCTTGGGCCATCGTGATGGAACAAAAGGTTACTTACTGTATGACTTACTGACTCATGAGTTCTTTGTATCCAGAAATGTTGTTTTCCACGAACAAATATTCCCCTTCCATCCAGCAATTCCCTCAAATCATATCACTGACTCACCAACTCCAGAATCCATAAATCAACCAACCCATACATACACTAACTTCGAAATTTCTTCACTCACCCATACAGCCCAAAATATCCTACCCAACACAAATCCACAGCCAGCCCAATCCCCACCACAGCAAGTTAGAAGATCTTCACGTCAACGTGCTCCTCCTAGCTACTTACATGATTATCACTGCAGCTTATTCTCATCTCAGCTGGACAAATCATCTTCAGGTAATTCCCATAACTTTCCTAAATACCCTTTGACTGATGTTTTATCATATGCAATGTGCTCTTCGGATTACAGAAACTTTTGTCTCAATGTTACCACTCTTACCGAACCCAAATCCTTCACCCAAGCCATCAAATCTAATAATTGGAAGCAAGCTATGGATTGTGAGTTATCTGCTCTGGCTTTAAACAACACATGGACCCTTGTCCCACTCTCCTGGCAAAACACCCATTGGATGCAAATGGGTGTATCGCATTAAATATAAATCCAATGGTGATATAGAACGCTTCAAGGCCAAACTCGTGGCAAAGGGCTTCACACAACTTGAAGGCGTGGATTTGTTCGACACCTTTTCACCGGTTGCCAAGTTAACAACCATCCGTTTTCTTCTTGCAATGGCAGCTGCTAAAGGATGGCTTCTTGAGCAACTTGACGTTAATAATGCGTTTCTTCACGGCGATTTATCTGAAGAGGTATACATGGAACCTCCTCAAGGGTTACTGAATGTTGCACCTAACCATGTTTGTCGTTTGAACAAGTCTTTGTATGGACTTCGCCAAGCTAGCCGTCAATGGTATAGCAAACTTTCCTCTGCATTAGTCTATCTTGGCTACACTCAGGCACAGTCTGACCACTCCATGTTTACTCTTCACAATGGTGATTCTTTCACTGTCCTCCTTGTTTATGTGGATGACATAGTATTATCTGGTAATTCTGCTTTGGAAATTTCACGAGTAAAGTCATTTCTGCATGATCAGTTTCGTATAAAAGACTTGGGTCCTCTGCGTTATTTCTTGGGAATTGAGATTTCTCGTTCTCAAAAAGGCATCCATTTAAATCAACGGAAATACACACTTGAGATCATTTCGGATGCTGGTCTCCTTGCTGCCAAACCGTGTACTACACCCATGGATTCCAATCTTCGATTAGGCAAAGCAACTGGTACTCCTCTCACTGATCCTACCTCATATCGACGTCTGGTTGGAAGGCTCTTATACCTCACAACTACACGTCCTGACATATCCTTTTCAGTGCAACAACTTAGCCAATTCCTCTCCAATCCTCTGGATTCTCATATGTCAGCAGCTACACGAGTTCTTCGTTACCTAAAAGGAGCTCCAGCTACTGGCTTGTTCTTCTCTTCATCATCAAACTTCCATGTTAAGGCTTTTAGTGATTCGGATTGGGGATCTTGTCCCGATACCAGAAAATCCATCACTGGCATTTGCATCTTCGTTGGACCCTCTCTTGTCACATGGCGTTCCAAAAAGCAACCCACTGTATCTCGATCATCGTCGGAAGCGGAATACAGAGCTTTAGCAAGCTTAGCCTGTGAACTTCAATGGTTTCAACACCTTTTCCATGATCTGCGCATACCATGGACCAAACCAGCTTCGGTTTACTGTGACAATAAGTCAGCCATATATCTTGCCCACAACCCAGCTTTTCACGACAGGTCAAAGCACATTGAAATCGATTGCCATGTCACCAGGGAGAAGATTCGTTCTGGTTTGCTCCATCTCCTTCCTGTTCCTTCGAACGCTCAATTGGCTGATGTTCTTACAAAGCCCCTCTCTCCCAAGTTGTTCACTTCTGCAATTCTCAAGTTGGGCCTCTGTAACTTACATAGTCCCACTTGTGGGGGGGTAACACAAGAGCTGCATTATGACGAAGTCCAAAATATTAAAGCCCAAGATGATCCAAATATTAGAGCTACCAATCTCAATAGAATAGACTGCTGACGTGTCTTTCTGTTATAGATTCAGTTTCATATTTTCAGTTACACAGTTAGTTATCAGCTATCAGTTATGATATATATAGTAACTTCATGTATTATTCATTAAATTAATGAGAATAATGATTTTCTCTTCTTCTTCCGGATTCGTTTCTCTCTGTTTCAATAGCACTTAGATCCAATATCAATATCCACCCAATACAACACTCTCTAATTGCTTTTTCGTCTCTTGGCCTGAAGCATTATCATAATTTTTATTGATCGTACAAAAATTAGTATGTTTTAATCTTTTCCATGTTTGTATACTTAATTAAAAAACAAGCATGTAGCATGTTTTTCTGATTCAATAGAAATAAATTGCATGTGGCCTCTATTGGGTATTTGATGGCTTGATGGTATCAATATGTTGCAGATTGCACACGGGAAAGAGCTTCATCCTAGTCGTCTCTCCATGATGAGCAAATATGAGGTAAACAAGCAAAAGGGATATATCACCATGTCCTTCAACATAATAAACACATAATCAGCAATTGAGTATTTCTTCTTGGATTGTGTAGGCACAGACGTCCAAATCACCTTTGAGTGCAGGATCACGCATACATGGCCCAAGTAGCCAGAGTTGTGGTAAGTCCTATGCAGCAGCTGTATCTGGAAAAGAAGTCACAACATCCGAACAAGCTTCACATGAACCTCATCATTCCCTTGTCAATTCCAACACTTTCAATGACTGGTCACCCTTGGATGATGGCATTGATGTTGTCCTCCCAAATGTTTCTGATAAAGCTCCGTCAAGGGAAGAAGTTGATACACACATTTTCAGGATTCTCTATGCACCCTCTACTAAAAGGAGGCTACCGGTATTTGAAGAAATTTGCCAATGTGAAGAGAACCCGTGATTTGTAAAAGGCCTCCTCACTGATGGAAAGTACTCTTGAACATCCTCCTAAGATACTCTCAAAAGTCAAAACCATTGTTTCTTCTGCCATTTGAATAACCCCCACCGTTTTTTTGGAAAATTATCCTCCCCTCCCTCCCTCTTTCTAATTGATTTCAATCTTGGTTGGGTGAATTGATAAGTATAACTGCGGTGACAGTTAATAATCAGTTGAATAATTTTGCATGTTTTCCTATCAGCTGGATCAGAATACAAATATTAGGTTGTTAAGAGTTTGAACAATAATTTTACTGGTATGTCTATGCTATAAGTTTACAGAATCAAATAATACTGGATCAGAGTATTCAGTTGAATGAATAATCACGCATGTATGCTGTTGACTCAGAATTCTGGCTCTAAACTAGGTTGTCAAGTACTCAAGACAGACCATATACCTATTTCCCACCTCAAAAATGAATAGAACATGGTACATAGGGAAGAGTGAATCTCTATATATATCAAAAGAAACATGTATAATATAGAATCATGCAATTAGCATGATTTTGGGTTGCTTTCCTTGATAAGATAAGAGATATCTTTAGCCATCTCAACGTGGTTGTTTAGTATGCTTTCTTATTTACAACAATATAACTAGCGTAATACTTCTCTCATTTAACATGAGGGGATTTTTTTTTCATACACTAACAAGAAATGTGAAGCCCACAAGTTAAAGAAAAATGAAAAAGAAAAAAATTGCAAGCACATCTTTTTATATCTTTATGATATGAGAAAATTATCTCTTATAATTGGAGAAAACAATTTCTGTTATATGACGTTACCCGTGTCACTTCAATAGCAGAAACCACCTCGTTAGTCGTTACAGCTTGCAAAAGTACGATATTTTGAGGAGGACACTTAAAATCTGGTAGGGCCCGTTTGGTAGTTGGATTTTTGTTTGTTTTTCTGGGATTCCTTGGTTGGGTAAATAGAAATGCATCGTTTGGTACAAGATTTTTAAAATTTTCACGAGAATCTGATTTCTTCTGGATTTTATTGTGTGTAATTTTTTTCGAAAATACCATCCAAGGATTTTCATGGCAAGGAAAAATTAAATACAACCAAATATAGCATCAAGAAAATTAACCTAACATTCCTGGGAATATTTTAGCCTACCAAATAATTTTTTGGTAATATTCCTAGAAAATTCATTTTCCCATCATATTTCTGAATATCGTGATTCTCAGATAAAAAAAATTTCTCTTCTATCAAACGCTCCCGTATGCTCTGTATTGTCTGGAAAGTTGTGCGGGTATTTCCATTATTGGTCTTGGATCTTCACTGTGAAGTTCAAGAGGAAGTGGAGGAAGGATGGCATCTCCCAGATAGTACTGGACAGTCCTTCTCAAATTAGGCCTGCAATGAGGCTTGGGATGAGAGCGAAGTAATCCAAGACTGAGCACATGCTGAGCTTCGTCTCTCATTCTCATATAAACTGGGATCAATGGCCCTCCTGATCCCAAGTTAGTAATTAAATAAAATACTTAACAAAAAAATTTAAAAATTTTAATGACAGCCGTAAGTTGAAGTCGAAAGCAGATTATGTAGACATATTAACATGTTAGGGCCATTTGGTAGAGGTGATATTTTTTTCATGGAGAAAAAAAAAAAATTCTGAGAATATAGTGAGAAATTTTTTTTTCTGATAAGTTATGAGAAGATGTTTGGTAAACTAATTTTTTTTCAGAAATATTGGATTAATTTTGCTGATGTTATGTTTGATTTATTATAAAATATTGATGAGAATCTAAATCAAAATGAGAAAATTACCCATCATTTTGAATATTAAATCTCTAGTCACTGATCAAAGGTTCATTTTACCACTGCATTGTCTCGCTCTTTCCAGGTTTTTTTTCTCTCTTTTCAGACATTTCCCCTCACCTCTCTTCCTCTATCCGGTATTAGGTCTACCGGTATTGAAGCTGCAAAGTATTCTTTTTCAGTTTGGTGCAGTCACTCGAATTAAAATTTGAATTTATTGATTCCTAGCAAATAGATTACTGGTTAAGCTATTTATTATGATGTGGCTGTGTTTCGTGTAATTAAACGTTTGTTACAGTTCCATGGTGAGTCTTATTAATGTTGTGCAATTGGAGGATGGCTGGCTACACTCTATATTGCTGGTTTCACAACTATAGGTATAAGGAAAGCTGTGAAGATAGAATTGATAGAGGCTGAGCCTACGGAAAAGCCCTCTCCATTTTCTTCCATTGAAGTGTGGGCATGGATCGGGGTTCTCCTTATATCATTTGTTGCTTCATTATTTTACCCAACTGCACTGGGGACAAGTGCCAGAACGTGGCTTCTATTCTTGCTTGCCTCCACAGTGGGTGGGTGGGATACATGTTGGAGAGGTTGAGTGAACCACCACTTTGGTAAAGCTTGATTCTTTGTTCCCATTATTATCATAGTGGATGTTTGAACTGGACTAGGTCCTGCGGATTTTCACTTCTTTATATTAAGGAAGGTTTCCCCCACGTTAAACATATATTTGTATGAATCTTTCTTTCTTTCTCTCTCTCTCTCCTTTCGTATTTTTTCTTTGCATTTTTTGTTTCTGCTGCACAAAGGTCGACCTAGTGAAATTCAGGCCGAGTTCAAATTGCCGAGATCCAGGATCTTGTTGATTGACTTGCGTAAGATGGACGAAGAAGCCGAGTTGAGAGACTGACTTGTCCCAACAGTGGTATCAGATCCCGGGTTTGACAGGTTCTGAAGGAGACGAGACAGAGACTAGTGGCATAACCTATGACAGAGATATGTTCAAGCTGACCGCAGATATGTTCAAGCTGACCGCAGATAATTTCAATTAGTAGAGACCGATGATGGAAGATTATCTCTACTGCAAAGATTTATATGAGCCTATTATCCTTGATGAGAGACCGGCAGGCAAAATCGATAAGGAGTGAGAGATCCTGAGTCGTAAGGCGGTAGCCACAATCAGGAAATACATAGACAAAAGTTTCTTTGAGCATGTGTTCGAGTTCAAGAACGCAAACAAGTTGTGGAACAAATTGGAGTCCATGATTCAAAAGAAAACTTCCACGAACAAAACACACCTGGTTCGCTGACTTGTGAAGCTGGAATATAAGGACAACATGAGCATGATTGAACACCTCAACACCTACAAATGGATTGTGAATCAGCTGTCAAAATCCAAGATGAAAATTGAAGACGAGATGCAGACTTTGCTACTGTTGAGCTCGCTTCCGGAAAGCTAGGATACTCTGATGGTGACTTTGAGTAATTCGGCTCCTGAAGAAAAATTGAAGATGGATGTCATAACATATAGTCTCTTGAACGAAGAAGCCAGGAGAGGAGAACGAGGTGTTTCCAACATGCCTAAGCCAACGTTGCTAAGAATATAGGGAAATTTGACTTTCAGGGCAGAAGTAAAAGCCGGGGTCGAGATCGTGATAGACGAGAAAAGTCCAGAGGCCGGTCAAAGCCGAAATATGAGTTGAAGTGCTTCTACTATTGGAAGCCAAGGCAGAAGAAGCCAGACTGCAGGACCCTGCAGAATGACGAGCATAACGGCTCTGTGAAGCCAGATCAGATTATTCCCAAGAAGAGGGAAGAAAAGAGAACCACGGTTGTGGTTGAAAATGCTGATGCTGAGATATTCTTACCCGGTGAAGAAATTTTGTACGTCCCTTATGACGACTGCACCTAGATTGTTGATCTAGTGCTCTTTTCCACGTCACCCCACATAAGGGATTTCTTTCAGCTTACAGAAGTGGAGATTTTGAGGTTGTGAAGATGGAAAATCAGGTGACTAGCAAGATTGTTGGTGCCGGTGATGTAACCTTGACCTCGGATGTAGGGTGCCGTCTTATTTTGAATGTGAGGCATGTACCTGACATGCGTTTGAACCTAATCTCGGTTGGCAAGCTAGATGATGCTGAGTTAGTGAACTACTTTGGAGGAAGTAGATGGAAGCTGGCCAAGGAAAACTTGGTCGTGGCTCGAGGTAAGAAGGAAGACTCCTTGTATGTGATGCAAGGAAAGATCAATGGCAGAGAAGCCAATTCTGTCCGAGATGGACTAGCTTAAAGCTATGGCACAAGCGTCTCGGCCACATGAGTGAGAAATGGCTCCAAATTCTGAACAAGAAAGGATTACTGACCTGGTTGAAAGGTGAAGCATTGGAGAGTTGCACGAACTGCCTAGCTGAAAAGTAGCACCGTGTTTCTTTCGTGAAACTGGATTAACCCAGAAGATGCAGGTATATTCTTGACCTCGTCCATACTGATGTTTGCTCTATGTCGGAGAGATCACTTGGTGGAGCTTAGTATTTTGTATCCTTTATTGATGACCGTTCCCGCAAAGTATGAGTTTACTTGTTGAAGTCAAAAGACCAAGTACTCCAATCATTCAAAGAATTCTATGCTATGGTGAAAAGGGAGACTGACAAAAAATTGAAGGTGGTCAGATCTGACAATGGTGGTAAGTACTGCGACCCGTTTGATGCTTATTGTAGAGCAATCGGGATTTGACTTGAGAAGACGCCCCTAAGACTCCTCAGCTGAATGTACTTGCTGAAAGGATGAACATAACTATTGAAAAGAAGGTCTAAAGTATGTTATCCAGTGCCGGATTGCCAAAATCATTTTGAAGAGAAACTGTCAGAACTGCGATTAACCTGATCAACCTCTCACCATCACGGCCACTAAAATGAGAAATTTTAGAGGAAGTCTGGACATGTCAGAAGTGATCTATGATCACCTGAAGGTGTTTGGATGCCGAGCTTTTGTGCATATCCCTATAGATGAAAGGGCGAAGCTTGATGTAAAGACAAAGGAATGTATTTATCTCAGTTCACCAAAATTCGAGTTTGGTTTTCGACTTTAGGATCCAATCAATAAGAAGATAGTGAGAAGTTGATATGTGATCTTTTATGAAGATGAGACCATTCATGACATCTCGAAGCCCAAAGTTCGGGTTTCTGTCCGACGTGAGGAACTGGTTCCTTATGTTCGAGATGAAGCAGGGGGAGCAACCAATGAAGAAAATAATGAAGAAAATGATGACCAGTAACAAGATGATGAAGACCAAGATACTGAGATTCCAGTTGATGATGAGATCCGGGATGAGAATGATGAACCGGGTTCTCAAGCTGAAGAACAGTCGAGATATTCAACTCGAGAAAGAAGACCCTCTACAACGTACCCATCTGATGAATATATCGTTGTTGCTGAAGACGGTGAACCTTAGAGTTATGATGAGGCAATAACGAGCTGAGTCAAAGAAGAA